CAATTGTCAATGCCTATTGTCATTTGTATGTGACACAGATAGCAAAACCTAAAAGCCTACAAACTATCAATTGTCAACGCCTATTGTCATTTGTATGTGACACAGATAGCAAAACCTAAAAGCCTACAAACTATCAATTGTCAACGCCTATTGTCATTTGTATGTGACACAGATAGCAAAACCTAAAAGCCTACAAACTATCAATTGTCAACGCCTATTGTCATTTGTGTGCAATGCCTAGAATGTCAATATGAGCTTAAACAAATATACCTTTTTCATATTATCAAAGCATTAATATTTGTATAGAAGGTAAACATAAATTGAATAGAGATTGTTAATTGTACTTTGACCTCTTTCATCGAGAAATGATCGAGAAAAAAAGAAAAACTACAGATACCAGTGCCTATTATATAAAGCATTGTTATAACTTATCAAGCCTTTAGATTTATTCCATTTATTTTGAAAGAAATTTTTTTTTTTCTTAACTTTTGCTATCATTAATTTTTTTCATGCAAAAATTTTACTTTTTATTCTCATTTTTTCTTTTCATTCAATAATTCCATTAATAGATAGATGATAAGTTGAATTTCAGGCATAAATCATTTTATTAACATTAGTAATTTATTACGAGAATATAAACAATTTAAATTATTCGAAATTTTTGAAATTATCTCCTATACAAATATTTATAAGTAAGAATTTAAGAATTTTTTTTATTATTACTATCAATTATTATCATTATTATTACTATCAACTGTTGACATTATTATTACCATCAATTATTATCATTATTATTACTATCAATTATTGTCATTATTATTATTACTATCAATTATTATCATTATTATTACTATCAATTATTTTCATTAGTTACTTTTCTAATTGTTAATTCTTTTTGTGTTAGATAACGATGACATATTTGAAAATTGTTTGTTGAAAGAATTGTTTGTTTGGTATGCTTTATAAGAAATGCAAATTATTTAGTGATAAAAAAGGATGATATTTTTTAAAAGAAAAATGAGAAAAATAAAAAAAAAAAAAAAAAAGGAAGGGAATGAAATATAACAAAAGTATGTTAGACCTGAAATACTTTGAAGAATATAAGAATGCTATTAAAGTTTATATTATCCATAAATTGTAGTTTCTTTTTTTTTTTTTCAAACTGTCAATAATATTTTACAAACAAACCCAATTAATTAATTAATTACTATGTCATTGTTAATGAATTTAAAATTTTTTTCGACATAAAAGCAAAAAAATGCATTTTGTCCAAAGTGATTAATATCATTTTTACTGATATTTAAATATGAAATGAAAAAATATATTTTAAAAAAGAAGGAGTAAAATTAAACTGAAATTAAATTGAAACATTTGTAGCTTAATCAAAAAAAAAAAGAATGATGAAAATGTTTATTAAATTAATGTTTTAGCATGCAAAATAACTGTATTGAAATAAACAGATTAAATTTTAAAAATTTGTCACTTTTTATTTATTTGTCAATAATTTCATTTCAATTAGCATTTATTTACAACTATTAGTATTTCTAATTACAATTAAATGCATTAATATATTTTTAAAAATTTTGTTTCTAACAATAGCAAAACATATGCATTTGTATTTATGTGATAAAAACAAGTTTAATTTAACATATTTAAATTTCAAAGAAATTTATTTGCAACAAAAGTAAGCAAATATTTATTAAATTCATATGTAGTAATTTTCATTCATTTATTTATGTCAAACAAATTTAGTACATTCAACTTTCATTTTCACATTTTCTCCTTCAATTAATATTTGAAAATAATTTATGACAAAATTTTCCTAACATTATTATTATTTATTTCTCATGCTGGAAAATTCTTCATTTTCATTTTTTATTTTTAAATTTATTTCAATTTGAAATTTCTTAAAATTTTTTTGCATATTTAATTTGATATGTTTTTGTCCTATTTCAGTATGCAATTCAGTTACAATATTTTAATTAAATTCCTAATTTTTTACACTTCTTTTAAGCAAATATTTTTTTCATATCTTTTCAATAAATATAATAAAAACTTTTCCATAAATTATTAATTATTTCAAAAAATTTAAATATTACTTTTTTTTCCTATTGCAAAAAAAAAAAAAAGGATTTACTCGAAATGATTCATTTTTTATGCATTGTTTATTAGACGCAATAAATATTTATGCAAATTAATATTATCACTGATTTCATTCTGCAAAATTTCTTCTTTTTGAAATTTTTTTTTTTTCCAAAAATTTTGAGATTTTTGAAAGTACTTTTTTTTATCAAAATGCCTTATATCTTATTTGCATTCATTCAAAAGTGATAAATTTTATTGATTTATTGTTGTTACATTCATAGAAACAACACAACACAAAAAATTGATAACATAAAAGATGACGGAAGAAGAAAAATTCTTCTTTCATTGATAAAATTATCAGTGCAGATGAATCAGTTATCAGTTGAATTGTTAGTATTATAAAGTGAATATCAAAAATTAATTATCAATGTTACTTTGATATCATATAATCACTATCATAATGAAAAAAAAAAAAACAACGATGTAAAATTATTTATAAATATAATATACTTTAAATACTATCATTTTTGTAATGCTAATTTTGTTATCACTTTCTTCATTTCTTGCTATATTAAAAGTAAAAAAAAAAAAAAAATTTTTGAATGTTTTAAAAAATAATGAAAAAATGATTATTTATTGTTTCGAGAGTTTTTTTTTTTTCGTTTTAAATTGCATAGTTTTCTTTATTTTAACAATGTTCGGAGAAAATATCTCATTTTTTTGTTTTTTTTTTTGTGCACAGGAAGCAAAGTGATAACTTTATCAAACAAACAAAAACCAATCTGTATAGGTTGAATTCGTGTTCGATGATTTTCTTTTTTCATTTGTTCTTATCAGTTTTGAAGTAATTTTACGGAAAAAAAAATTATTTTGCATATTTAATTGATAATTTATTACTGTTGTATGATAATAATTTTTAATTTCATTCAAACTGAAAAAACTACTTTCATTAATTGATTGAATTGATTTATTAATTGATTAAATTTATCTATTAATTGATTGAATTGATCTATTAATTGATTGAATTGATCTGTTAATTGATTGAATTGATCCATTAATTGATTGAATTTATCTATTATTTGATTGAATTGATCTATTAATTGATTAAATTTATCTATTAATTGATTGAATTGATCTATTAATTGATTGAATTGATCTGTCAATTGATTGAATTGATCTATTAATTGATTGAATTGATCTATTAATTGATTGAATTGATCCATTAATTGATTGAATTGATCTATTAATTGATTGAATTGATCTATTAATTGATTAAATTTATCTATTAATTGTTTGAATTTACATATTAATTGATTATATTAATTTTTACTTCATGAAAAGTGATTTTATGCTGATATGAAAGAATATATTCGTTATTATAAATGATTAAATAGTTTTTAAATCGGTCATTCCTACTAGAAAAAAAAAAACGAAATTCTAATTTTATATTCCAATATATATTAAAAATAAATTCATTCACTTTATCCACTTTGATGTTTAATTAATATTCTGCTAATTTGAATATTGTTATGATTACTTAATTCCTAATTACTTGTTATGATTACTTAATTCCTAATTACTATATAGACGCTAAAAACTTGTATTACAAGTGATTTTTTAAAAATTAATTTTTGAAAAATAATTTTTGTTGCAATAAACAAGTAAATATTATATTATTTATTAACGAAAGTGTCAATCATTCCATTATTGTAACTATTTGTAAATAAACAAAATATCAAATTGCTTTCGAAAAAAAAAAAATTTATGTTTAACAACAAAATAGTTAACTAAAAGGGTAAACGTTTTTTTTTCTTTTTTTTTTTCATCATTTTGTTACATTTTATTATATCAAACATTGTTAATGTGAAATTTAATATTATTCTTTAAAACAATAATTCCATCACCAAACCAAACAAACAAATAAATAAATAAATAATTATTCTTTCTTCCTGCACTTTTGTTTCTTTTGATTACTTTCTAAGTCATTTTTTTTTCCCTGTCATTGTCCTTCTCTCTCTCCCCTCTCTCTCTCTCTCTCATTTTTTATTTCTTATAAAAAAAAAAATGAAACAGGAATTTTCTGTTCAAACTTGTTTTACCAATAGAAATATCAATAGCAAACAAGTATGGAAAGATGATTTAAATTAGAAGCTGCTAATAATAGTACTTATTGTTATTGTATTAATAATATTTACTGCTACAATAAGATGTAATAATTAAGTAAATTTTATCAACTAATATAATTATATCATTAATTTATTTTATTATTTGAAAAGATTGCATTTAAATCGAAATTGATAGCTTATATAGTAATTATATTAATAATTTTTGATAAAAAATTATTCCTTCATCATTAAATTTGTATAAATTGTTTTCTAAAAAAAAACAAAGAAAACAAAATATTCAACATTTACAAATTAAAAAAAAAAAAAAAAACTAGGCTCTAGGCTTATTTTTTTATGAAATTATTTATTGCAATTATATTTTTATTTTATGATAAAAATAATACTTATATTAAAACATTGTTATTTTTTAACATTATTTATTGTAATAATTGAGGAATTTTTCATAATTGCTTTTATCATTTTAAAAGAAAATTAAAGATTATATAAAAGTTAAAATTTCATTTCATAAAATAGTAAATCTTTAATGTTTGTTTCTCCAATCGATATCATCTTGATGAATTCATTGAAAAATGTTATCAAACAAAATGTCTGTGCATGCCTAACACAACAAATGTTATTGTACATATTCTCCTGCCTATAATACCATTTCCATTTAGTATTATTAGGCCTAAATTTTTATTAATTATTTAAAATTTTAGGTTTTATCAAAAATTTACAAAAGAGTGCCTTGTAGTTTCATTTCATCTAAACTACGCATATTGCTGAATTGTTGAATTATTTTCAATAATTATGAACAGTGGAAGTATTTTCAAGCCTGAATGTTTGTTTGTTTTTTTTTTGCTTTCATATTTTTTAAAAGTTTTATTTTAAAAAAAAAAAAAAAATTTATTTTTGATTTAAAAAATTTTATTTTTGATTTTATCTCAAAATTTCAGCTATTTTCTATGGTTTTACATCGATTACGATAATATCATTGTTATCACTAACTGGCCTTATATTTATACCTCTTATCAAAGGTAAATGGCGAAATAGATGGATGCAAGTATTTATTGCTTTAGCTGCTTCATCGATGAGCTCAGATGCTTTACTTCATATTTTACCACAGGTATTTATTTGCTAATATCAATAGGTGATATGATAAGGAATGATTAATTTCCTGATTACACACATATATTTCATTAAATTTTTTTTTTTTTTTACAAATAAAAAATTTGTTAAAAATTTTTCAGCGATTAAAAATTTTAGCAAAATTTGGTATTTTTAAATAGCATTTTTATTAATTATATATAATTGTAAAATGATGAGTATGAAAAAAATTGCTAATGTTTAATTTTAAAAAATTAAGGTGGTTGGTGCACATGATCATTCACATCGTGATCATGGTCATGAGCATCGTCATGATCACAATAATTTTGAAACAGGAAACAATCATTCGGATCATCATCATCATCATCATCATCATCATCATCAGGGTCAAAAGGTCACATACATTTTGAGTTTTTTTTTATCAATGCTATTAATTAAAATTTGCCTGAATGTTTCTACCTTTTTTTTTTTTTTGATAAACTTTCATTTTAATGATAATCATTGTTGTGCATCAATAATTGCATTTTATAATTAATATTTTATAATATTTATAGCAAAGTGAAGATGAAATATTTATCTCCGATGATCATTCAATGCTACTTAAAATGACAGCTGTAATTGGAGCTGTGTACATTCTATATGTATTGGAATTCATTAGTGCTTCACCTATTTGGAAGAAAAAAAATGTAAGCAAATTAGAGTGAAATTACAAATGGGCCTAAAAAATTTCTATTTTTTAAATTTTTTTTTAAAAAAAAAAAAATAAAATGTTAATAAATTGTATGAAGTAATTTTAGCAGACAACAAGAATTAGAAAGATCTCTTCGACACCACAAAATGCTTGGTCTAATTCTAAAAGGTAAATTAAAAGAAATTATTACTTTTTATAATTAACAAATATCAAACTCATTATAAGATGAATATTAGGTGAATTAAATTAGTTCCATTAATTGAGCATAATCAATCGTATTAGTTATCAATTATCAAATTTTATATAGAAACAGAAAGATAATTCGTTGTTATTAAAATAACAAATTTCTAATTTTTTATTCATCACAAATCACATTTAAATGATGTAAAAGAATCAATTTCAAAACAAGATTTTGTTTTAATTTATTTTTTATTTTTATTTTTTTTTAATATTAGAGCATTCTTATGAGAGAAAAAAAAAGAATTTAAACAATAAGTATTAAAGTGAAAACGAAACAAGTACTGATAGTACCAACACTGGTACTCATGGTACTCATGGTACCATTGGTGGTATTGCTGATGAACCAGTAGTTATGTGTGGTCTTAAAAGTGCTGCATTTGTGATCATTTTTGGTGATGCAATTCATAATTTTATCGATGGTATTGCTGTTGGTGCAAGTTTTGCTATTTCAAACCAAGTTGGTGTAGCAACAAGTATCGCTGTTGTATGTCATGAATTACCGCATGAATTAGGTTATTTTCCATCATTTGTTTTGTTTTTTTTTTTTTTTTTATCGTTTATAAATTTTGAATTTATTCAAATTTTCTTAAATTTCACAAATTATTTGTATTTTTGCAAATATTTTCTATTTTTCATTTCATTCACTTTTAATTAAATTATTTATTACAAAAAATTTTTTCATTAATTTGTAGGTGATTTTGCTGTTTTAATTGAATCTGGCCTTTCCATTCCTCGTGCCATGTTGCTGAATTTTCTTTCTTCTCTAACTGCATTTGCGGGCCTATTTGTTGGCCTAGCAGCAATTAGTGTGGACAGTGCTGTAGAGATATTGTTGGCCATTACAGCTGGAATGTTCCTGTATGTTGCTTGGCTTGATATGGTATGCTAATTCTCTCTTATCCTACTAATATCTTATCAATGCTAGTGGGATGGAACTGCTTTACAGTACTTTGTGACATAAAATTTCAATTTTTAGAGTATTAATTTTACATTGTAATTAAGTAAGTAAAAAGACGAATATTTAATTTAAGTCAGTTTGAATTGATTTTGAATTGATTGTAAAATCTTTTCTATTTTTTTTTAAATGAGAACTTTAAAATTAAAAGCATTTTTTTTTTTTGCAGTTAATACATTTGAAAAAGGAATCAGCATCGACAAATGACAAATGGTATGTGACATTGTTTCTTCAGAATATTGGCTTTATCTCAGGTTTCTTAATTATGTTTATAATTGGTTGGTATGAAGAAGTACTTGCATCACTTTAGCTTCTCATAGCATTTTAAATAATATTCTCTCCTTTTTTTCAATTTTTTTTTTTTGTTTATGTTAAATTTTTGCAATGAAAAGAAAGAGTAATTCTTTAGATTTTGAAATTTCTAATAGTTTTTTTTTAATAACTTTTTATATATTTTTTTTTTTTATACTACAAAATTTTTTAATAATCTTTTTTGAGTAGAATTAACTCAGATTAATGAATAATTTTCATTGATTTCACCAAAGTTTTCATTAATAAATAACACAAAATTAGCAAATTATCATAACAACAACGAATCATTTAAATATCGTTGTACATTTCATAATGATAATAATTAGTCTTATTTGATTTGATAAAAAAAGTTTTATTAATTTTTGTTATACATTTATTTTTTTTATGAAAATTTAAATCTGTGCAAGTTTTTTTTTTTTTCTCTTTTTATTATCGTTTGAAGTTTCAATTCTTCTTTGTTGTTTACAATGTAATAAATGTACATTTCATTATGTTTTCTAAATAAACAAATTCATATTCATTGTTTACACTGTAAAAAAAAATATAAAAATTTTTATTGCAAAAGGTAACAAGAATTACTTTCAGTATTAACAAATAATTACGGAACTTCTGCAAAAACATTTATCCCTCCAAATTTTAAGTGCACTTTGACCTTTCAATCTGTTAGATTTACATCTCTTAATTCCATATGAATATAATTTGAGGAATGAGACAAACAATCATCATTAGCTTTAGAGTAATAAAAAAAAAAGTTAGAAATAATAGAACTTAAAAAAATTTATGCCATCACATATTCATCTAACACTCAATATGTTTATTTGTTTGACTTAAAAAAAAAAAACCTTAAATTGAATAAATTCCGTGAACTATTTCATTTCACGTAAGGTATTATCTCACGTGAGGATTTTTACTGAATATTGTGATACTGACTAATATGGTGATTGCGATTTCAAAAATAAAAAAACAAATTTCAAATTTTACAATACAAAATTATCGGCTTCAATTAATATTATAAAGTTTAATTAAACAGATTGGCTAAATTCATCATACTAAAGTTTTTTTTTTATCCTAAAATACTATCCATAGAAATTTTTTGAAAGGATTACAAATTCTATAATTTGTAAAATTTAAAACAATGTAAAATTGATTTCTTACTTCTTTCTTTTGCATTTTCACACAGAATTCTCTTTAGTCAATGATAATTAAATGATAATTGTGTGATCGATTGATTATATGATAATAACAAATTAATATTACTTTTTCTTTAAGCATTTATTTCCATTTATTCATACAAAAATCTATTTCCTTTGACCTTCCCGCCAAACTTTACAAAAAATTCCGCTCAAATTTTGATTGTCACAAAAAATTTTTTTTGTTTTCGTCAGATGACAAATAGTATTTGTTACTTTAACTTTATACTTTTCCCTCTATTTCCCGCCCATATTATAACCTCAAATTGTTTTTTTTTTATTTACTATAAATGTGCATCTCACTTCTTCCTTACCATATATAAACAAAAAATTTCCATTATTATTCATTCTTTACTTTGCAATTCTCTTTGACGTGTGTTCGTGTTTTTGCTTTAAGTAAATATTTTTAATTTTTTTTGCATTTTAATTTTAAAATTTTCATTTAATATCATCAATTATAAGAGAGGGAGAGAGAGAGAGAGAAAGAGAGAGAGAGAGTTACCTGATAATTATTCTATCCTGATTTGATAACTTTTTTACTTTTATTCAATTTTATCATTTTCTACATGAATGCTTTTACTTTTTTCTTCATCATAAAAAAAGAAAAAAAAAATTTAACTAAATTTTGATTATTTCGAAAAAAAAAATTTTTTTTTTGTCTTCTTTAGATTACATATTGTTATTCTAGTTTTTTTTTTTTCTTATCACATTATCATAATGTGATAAATTTTCCTAAACTTCTATGCAGTATACTGATTAGAATATTTTTTGAAAAAAAAAAAAATTATTTGTTATCAAAATAAAATAGAATTTTTTTTTTTTTAAATAGAAAAATATTCTATTTTATTTTGATAACAAATAATTGTTACTTCTTTTTTAGACATTGAATTGCCTTCCATCTTTACAATATGTTTACCTTTGACCTTCCCACTAATGGTACAAAAAAAGAAAAAAAAAAAGCCCGCTCAAATTTTAATTATCTCAGAACTTTTTCTGTTTTCCTCAGGTAACAGGTAGTGCTACACTTCTTAATAAAGGCTCTTCATCAATTTACCTATGACATTCCCTCTAACTTACCCACCCGCCTATTATACCTTCAATTGTTTTTTATACTGCAAATCTCATCGCTTCTTCTCTTCCCATATTTATATAAATGAAATATTTTCATCATTATTTATTCTATACTTTGACGCTATCTCTAGCGTGTATCCACGTTTCTTTCTTACGGATTATTTACGTGTCTTTTCGACATTCTCACGTTTGTGACTATGAAGTCATCATTTTATTTTCATCAATTATGTAAATTGATGTCATCAATCTACACATTACATGCTATAATACTGTTTTGATTAAAAGTAATATCATTTCTTTTAGGTTTTTGTTGATTATTTTAAAGTATTTTTATCATTTTTATCACTGCAAAATCTCTGTTTTAGTGATAAAATAATTTTCTTCTTATCCAAGAAAGAATAGAATTAGTATATGTTAAAATTTTGTTTTATAAGATAGTAAGTCTTAAGATTCATTATTTATTCGTCTAAACTTTCCAATTGATATTGTCACGATGAATTCATAGAAAATATTATCAAATAAAAACACAACAAATGTTATTGTACATGTTGCCATTTCGATCTGTATTATTAGGCCTAAATTTTTATTAATTATTTAAAATTTTAGGTTTTATCAAAGATTTACAAAAGAGTGTTTTGTAGTTTCATTTCATCTAAACTACGCATATTGCTGAATTGTTGAATTATTTTCAATAATTATGAACAGTGGAAGTGTTTTAAAATCTGAAAGTATGCTTTTTTTATTTTCACATTTTTTAAAAGTTTTATTTTTAAAAAAAAAAATTTTATTTTTGATTTAAAAAATTTTATTTTTGATTTTATCTCAAAATTTCAGCCATTTTCTATGGTTGTACATCGATTACGATAATATCATTGTTATCACTAACTGGCCTTATATTTATACCTTTCATCAAAGGTAAATGGCGAAATAGATGGATGCAAGTATTTATTGCTTTAGCTGTTTCAACATTGAGCTCAGATGCTTTACTTCATATTTTACCACAGGTATTTATTTTCCCATTACCAATACTGCGGGTAAGATAAGATCGACTTCTGGCTGCTGATATTCCTTGAATAATTAGAAATTATAATTGGAAAAAATAATTAGAAATTATCATTTAGGTAGAAATTTATGTTTTTTGCACGATTGGAAGTTTTGTAAGTGGTATAACAATTATGATTAAATTAATTTCCTGCTGAACTTAAATCATTGTTTTAAATTATTAAGGTAGTTGGAGTACATGATCATCTGCACCACGATCATGGACATCACGGTCACAGTCACACTAAAATAGAACAGAATCATTCAAATTATCATCATCACAATAATTCGGATCACTATCATCTTCATCATGATCACAGCGATTCGGATCACCATCATCGTCACCGTCGTCACTCGGATCACGACCATAATCATCTTCAAATGAAACACAATCATTCGGATCATCATCACGGTCATAGTCATCCGGATCATCATCACGATCACAGTCATCCGGATCATCATCATCACAATCACAGTCATCCGGATCATCATCATCACAATCACAGTCATCCGGATCATCATCATCACCATCATAATCATTCGGATCACGACCATATTTATCTTCAAATGAAACACAATCATTCGGATCATCATCACGATCACAGTCATCCGGATCATCATCATCACCATCATAATCATTCGGATCACGACCATATTTATCTTCAAATGAAACACAATCATTCGGATCATCATCACGATCACAGTCATCCGGATCATCATCACGATCACAGTCATCCGGATCATCATCATCACAATCACAATCATTCGGATCATCATCATTACGATCATAATCATTCGGGTCACAATCATCGTCATCGCCGTCATGATCACAATCATTCGGACCATCATCATCATCACGACCACAGTCATCCAGATCATCATCACGATCACAGTTATCCGGATCATCATCACGATCACAATCATTCGGATCACGATCCAATTAATCTTCAAATGGAACATAATCATTCTGATCATCATCACCATCAGGGTCATAAGGTTGCATTTTAATTTATTATCACTACTATTGATCTAGACTTATCAAAATGCTTCTACTTTTTTGATAATCTTTCATTTTAATGAAAATCATTGCTATATTTTAATATCTGTGTATCATAATCATAATTAACGTCTCGCAATATTTATAGAAATCTAAAGATGAAGTAGCTCACTCCGATGATCATTCAATGTTGCTTAAAATGACAGCTGTAATTGGAGCTGTGTACATTCTATATGTATTGGAATTCATTAGTGCTTCACCTATGTGTAGAAAAAAAAATGTAAGTAATAAAAATATGTAATTTCTTTTTTTTTGAAAAAAGGAAAAAAAACGGATTTTAAAACTTTGTTGAATATTTTTTTCAGAAAGCTACAAAAGCTGTAAAAACTTTTGCTGTATCACATAATGCTTGGTCAGATGGTGAAACGTAAGTGAAAAGAAATAATTACTTATAATAACTCCTAAAGATGAAATTAGTATAACTAAAAACATTTGAACTTATTAGTTGGATATAATCAGTTACACTATTATTACAGGAAGATAGTTTCTTCATTATTAAAATATTTATCAAATTTCTAATTGTATTTATCATCGTTCACTAATTCAAATCATTTTTTGAATTTCATACATCCATCTTTTCATTATTTTTTGTTTGTTTAAATATATTCGAAAATTTTTTAAAATAAATTTTTATTTATTCTTAATATTAATTTAAAAAAAAAATTAAAAGAAATAAGTATTAAAGTGGAAGCGACAAGAGTACTGATAGTGGTTATGGCCATGTAACTGGTATTGCTGATGAACCAGTAGTTATGTGTGGTCTTAAAAGTGCTGCATTTGTGATTATTTTTGGTGATGCAATTCATAATTTTATCGATGGTATTGCTGTTGGTGCAAGTTTTGTTATTTCAAATCCATTTGGTATAGCAACAAGCATTGCTGTCGCATGTCACGAATTACCGCATGAATTAGGTTCTAATTTTATTTTTATTTCATATTGCTTTTTACATCGTAATTTTTGTTTACAGTACTGAATTTATTCAAATATTTTAGATTTCCTTTTTTTTTTGCAAATTAAATTCTAAAAACTTTTTCATTAATTTGTAGGTGATTTTGCTGTTTTAATTGAATCTGGCCTTTCCATTCCTCGTGCCATGTTGCTGAATTTTCTTTCTTCTCTAACTGCTTTTGCGGGCCTATTTGTTGGCCTAGCAGCAATTAGTGTGGACAGTGCTGTAGAGATATTGTTGGCCATTACAGCTGGAATGTTCCTGTATGTTGCTTGGCTTGATATGGTATGCTAATTCTCTCTTATCCTACTAATATCTTATCAATGCTAGTGGGATGGAACTGCTGCTTTACAGCACTTTGTGACATAAAATTTCAATTTTTAGAGTATTGATTTTACATTGTAATTAAGTAAGTAAAAAGACGAATATTTAATTTAAGTCAGTTTGAATTGATTTTGAAATGCCTTTTTAACTTTCTTTTCTAATTTTTAAATGACCTTTAAAATTAAAAAAATCTTTTCTAATTTTCTAATTTTTTTTAAAATGAGAACTTTAAAATTAAAAGCATTTTTTTTTTTTGCAGTTAATACATTTGAAAAAGGAATCAGCATCGACAAATGACAAATGGTATGTGACATTGTTTCTTCAGAATATTGGCTTTATCTCAGGTTTCTTAATTATGTTTATAATTGGTTGGTATGAAGAAGTACTTGCATCACTTTAGCTTCTCATAACATTTCAAATAATATTCTCTCCTTTTTTTTCAATTTTTTTTTTTGTTTATGTTAAATTTTTGCAATGAAAAGAAAGAGTAATTCTTTAGATTTTGAAATTTCTAATAGTTTTTTTTAATAACAATTTTAGTACTTTTTTGGATAGAATTAACTCAAATTAATGAATAAAAAATTGATAAAAAAGGAGAAATGAAGCGATGATTTGCCTTCTTTTTTATGATAAAATTTTGTAATTTTTATTGATTTCACAAAATTAGCAACAAAATGTCACTTAAATTTTCGTTGTACATATGATAATGATGCTTATCTGATGATAAACTTATCTGATGATAATAACTTTATCAGTTTTTGTTGCAGTAAATATCAGTCTTTGATGCTTATCTGATGATAAACTTATCTGATGATAGTAACTTTATCAGTTTTTGTTGCAGTAAATATCAGTCTTTGATGCTTATCTGATGATAAACTTATCTGATGATAGTAACTTTATCAGTTTTTGTTGCAGTAAATATCAGTCTTTGATGCTTATCTGATGATAAACTTATCTGATGATAGTAACTTTATCAGTTTTTGTTGCAGTAAATATCAGTCTTTGATGCTTATCTGATGATAAACTTATCTGATGATAGTAACTTTATCAGTTTTTGTTGCAGTAAATATCAGTCTTTGATGCTTATCTGATGATAAACTTATCTGATGATAGTAACTTTATCAGTTTTTGTTGCAGTAAATATCAGTCTTTGATGCTTATCTGATGATAAACTTATCTGATGATAGTAACTTTATCAGTTTTTGTTGCAGTAAATATCAGTCTTTGATGCTTATCTGATGATAAACTTATCTGATGATAGTAACTTTATCAGTTTTTGTTGCAGTAAATATCAGTCTTTGATGCTTATCTGATGATAAACTTATCTGATGATAGTAACTTTATCAGTTTTTGTTGCAGTAAATATCAGTCTTTGATGCTTATCTGATGATAAACTTATCTGATGATAGTAACTTTATCAGTTTTTGTTGCAGTAAATATCAGTCTTTGATGCTTATCTGATGATAAACTTATCTGATGATAGTAACTTTATCAGTTTTTGTTGCAGTAAATATCAGTCTTTGATGCATATCTGATGATAAACTTATCTGATGATAGTAACTTTATCAGTTTTTGTTGCAGTAAATATCAGTCTTTGATGCATATCTGATGATAAACTTATCTGATGATAGTAACTTTATCAGTTTTTGTTGCAGTAAATATCAGTCTTTGATGCATATCTGATGATAAACTTATCTGATGATAGTAACTTTATCAGTTTTTGTTGCAGTAAATATCAGTCTTTGATGCTTATCTGATGATAAACTTATCTGATGATAGTAACTTTATCAGTTTTTGTTGCAGTAAATATCAGTCTTTGTTTCTTTTGTATCATCAAAAACTTTATTATTGTTTCAATTTCTTTCTATTTTCTTTTAACATTAGTGTGAAATATTTTTTTTTTCTCTCTTTACTGTCAATTGTAAAAAATTATGCAAATTTCTATCAGTTCTTCTGCATAAATACTACCAAATCACACTTTTTTTAAATATAAATTATACAAACTTATATTGTTTTGTTTGTTTTGTTTGTTTGTTTGTTTGTTTGTTTGTTTGCTTGCATATGAATGATTGATTGCTCAGTAATTTTCTATTCTTATTTTTACATGAAAACGATATATGTACTATTTATTATTCTCATGCAAATATTATAAAAATTTCTATCGTTGTTTTCATTAGAAAAATTATGCAAATTTCCATCGTTGTTAGTTTTGATTCAGAAAAATTATATAAATTTGTATGATTTTTTACATCATAATAATTACGACAGTCTGTTATGTTTTCATGTAAAAAGTTCAATAAATCTCTCTTGTTGTTGTTGTTGTTGTTGTTTACATCATAACAAACAACTGTACAATAGCTATTAATTTCAAACTTAACAATTTTTCAATAAGTATAAAATTTAAATAAGAAAATTATTTCTAATTCATTCACTTATCATTGATTTATCAATTTTATTTTTCAATTTTTATAGTATGTGAAGTTTTTTTTTTTCTTCTGAGATTATTTAAAAATAAAATATGCACCTATGTTCTTAGTCATACAATTTTAATTTACAATAAATATTTAAATTATTTTTCATTCATATAAAATAAGTTGTTTACATGAGTTGATCATCGGTATATATTGTTTCATTGCTTAAAACATGCTTTAGCTCTAAATTTGGCATATCACCAGTTATCTGAAATAAAAATTAAATTATTGGTGCTATCAATTTAAGTTTTTTTTTTTTATTGAAAAATATAACTGTTTAACAATTTAAAGTAACAAAAAAAAAAAAAATGAATTTTGCTAGCAAAAAAAGGAAAAAGTTAGAAAATTTTAGCTTTTAGGATGAGAAATTTATGTTATATTCAATATATAAATCAATAAGTTAATTATTTCTATTTTATATAAAGTCAAAAAATTGAAAAATTAAAAATTAAAAAAAAACGATGCAAATTTCATTATTGAATTTCTCTCACTTCACGTAAAGTATTATCAGGTGATACAGCATAATCACGTGTAACTTTTCGATGATAACGTACGTGTGATGTTTGTAATTCTAAAAATTATTATATCATTTAAATTTATATGCAATAATAATTTTCTCTTCCTCTTATTTATTCTAAAAAAATAAATTGGTGAAATATACTATCAAAGTATTTATTTCATCGATTAATAAATTTTATTATCATACTTTTGTCGCATTGCTTTAACTCATTAGCTTTGTCCATAAATCGATCTTTTATTTCATTATTATATCGTTTTAATTGTTTTGTTTTATCATTCTCGGATAATTCATTTTTGGGCTCTTTTTTACTAAATTTTACTTTTAAATTAAATTTCAATTTTTTTTTTTTTTTTTTAAAAAACAAGCATAAACAACAAAAGAGCAAATAAAAAAGAATAAGAAATTAATTACCAAATATGAATTTATCTATGAAATGAAATATCTGTCAATTAATCAATTCTCGAATTCAATTCTCGAATAACTTACACTTTCTCCTCTATAATTTCGTCATTTTTTTCTCTACTCTTATAATACTTTTCTCTGTTTTTACAATGCTTTTCCCTGTCTTTCACATATTTTTTTCTTCTTTTACTATGCTTTTTTTGATTTTCACTCATTCTCTGCAATCACAGAATTAAATAATAAAATATTTTGTTTTTTTAATTAAACAAAACTCTTATCAAATAAACTTTAAAGTAAAAAATTTTCAAATTTTTTGAAACTAATAAATGTCTTAAATGCAGGTACATAAAATAAATAAAAGAAATTTACTTAGTAATTTAATTCTACTCATTTACTTATCATTTAATCATATTTCTTTATTATTTAATTTATTTATTATCTAAATTTACATCCATTTATTATTTAACATTTTTTAATTCTTGGAACTTATTTAGTCGTTTTCTTGATTAAAACTTAATTTAGTTAATTTAATCAATTTGATTTGATCCATATAATCACTTATTCCATAATTTATCACTTACTACTACTTACATCTCTTCAAAATATATCAGTAAATTAGAGTATTAAATGAGTACAAGAATTATAATTCCTATCATCAAATTGCATTTTAAAATTTTAAAATCATTTTAAAATGATGCAAATATTATTCTCTCACAGTAATAATTAAGCTAAATCTAGCTATAGCTAACATTAACAATGATAATTTCTCATCTTTTAATTTCATTTGAATAAATGAAACGAAGAATGAAAAAGCATAAATTTATTTCTTTAACATTTTACAATTAATTAATTTTTCCTCTAAATCAAATTTACCGAATGTTGTTGCCATATTCTACCAAAACACATAGATGTATATATAATATCTAAATAATACTTCTTTTTACTTTTCTTTACCTCTCTTTCTCACTGTCTCTTAAATTTTTAAAAATAAACAATGAAAAATTATGTAATCAAATCCATCCATTTATTCACTTTTTTTTTTTGATGCATTTTTTCTTCAATGCAAATTAGATGGTCACAATTAACAGATTGTTATCATTTGATTATGATAATTTCAATCATGACAAAAAGATAAATAAATATTTCAAATCACTGAAGATATTATTTACTTCCTCACTTTATCTTGAAACAATAATTATAATTGTATTTCTAAGCAGTTACATTCTCGATAATATTTCATTTTACTGATTTTAATTATGCATTTCTGATATACAATGATCTGATTAAATGATAAAAAGATTACTATTATTATATAAAAAGATTACTATTATTACTATTATTACTATTATTATTATTATTACTATTATTATTATTATTATTATTACTATTATTATTATTATTATTATTTTTGTTTATTAAACAATAATCCAATGAATGAAAGAAAATTGATGAATTAGTTTCAGTTATTTATGCTTAAAATATAATTTTTGTTATTACATCAAATTTCTATCATTTGATTTTCTCTGCTAATCTAATCAGATTTCTAAAAAATAAAATAAATTAAAAAAAAAAAAAAATTGGCTCATTTCATTCATATAAACAAATTAATGAAAATATTATTTGATAATTTAAAATTGTATTTAAACAATAAAATCAAAATGATTGCTATGAAGAATGAGAATTTCGATAGTAAACAGAAAAATAAAAAAAAAACAGAGGAAATTAAGGATTTTTTTTTTTGGAATTAATTGAATGTTTATTAATGAGAGGAATCAATATTTACTAATAAATGTGAGAAAACAAATGGATGAAACTTAGAAATAATTGAATTTTAATTTAAAACAAAACGAACCTTAGTAATTAGTCTTAAAAATTAAAATTCTATGCAAAAATTAGACTTTAAAAATGGTATTTGCTAATATTTCTTACAAATATGATTTATATAAACCAAAAAATTTGTACTAATTTTAAAGTTTGAAATAGAAAGCAAAATAATGAAAATAAATA